GTCATTCAATGCAGGACCTCATGCATTCAAACCAAGCACACACAGACACAGAGTTACCTAAATACAGCACTCCTACCCTCCTCTTATTTATGTGTGATTACAGGAGCCAAAGCCTTCTCTCTCTATAAAAAAAAAAATTGGGGGATGAGGTAGAAACAAAAACGTTTAATCAGAGAGATTGATAACAACCTCTTATAAGGAAACAAAAAATCTGGGTTGAGGCAGTAGTGACAAAATTGGAGACTCTTTATGAAAGATTCTAATAAGATGATGGCCCCGGGACATCTAATAAGATGATGCAATGAACAAAGAAGATGAAAAAAGTATAGAATAACATCTATATCCTTAGCAGTTAGCTCAGAATCACATACAAGTAGCTACTTGGGATGAGTTTTGATGAAAATGGTATTGATAGAAAAGCAAAGAAAATATCAAGTTCACTTATTATACTCAATATTTTCATTTGAAGTAAGTTGGCATATATTAAGTGCCAACTATGTGCAGCTTCTATGATTAGAATAATGACAGAGTGTGTGTACCCCGGTCAAGTAGGGTGGCCAGCGAAGACAACAACTTTGCCTGCAGTCTGTCTCCAGATTGAAGCCCCAGAGTAGCTTCTTCTCTTATGCATCAGTCAGCACCTTTCATCGTTAACCCAATAATTCATTCTACTTGTTGCTTTAGGACAGCAGTGATGCTAGAAATAATCTCAGTGTTCATAAAGGTGATTGAAAAATGTGACAATGGAATTGATGAATGGAATAGGACAACTTATTAGCTAAATGAGAAAGCTACACAGAAAAATTTGTTAGAATTGTGAGCTCAATCAATGCCCACAGCCATAATTTAAGTAGATTCATGACTTAAGTACAGAAGGAGAAGCAGACAGACAGACAAGCCCATCTGAGCTAATTTTAAGTGGAACAAATCAGGATATAATCTTTTTTGTGTAATATTAACTAGGTAAAAAACTGCACTACCCCAAATCTGGAATACACAGAAGCTCCTGATAATCCACCCTAAGTTGTCACAAAACTGCGGTGCTGGAATGATGGGCTGCTTAAAAATTTTCATTGCGCTCTTATACATTTTCCAAACCATAAATATAGTTTACTTGAATCATTAGAACAAACCCTCTCCTCACAAATACTAACTGAGCTAATATTAATAGGTTAAGTGTTTGGAGTGTTTATTATGTGCCCAGTATTAGCCTAAGTGCTTTCTACATATCATTCATTTCATCATCTCAGCAGCCCTATTGGGGAGGAATTCTTACTCTCTCTACTTTACAGACGAAGCACAGGCAGGGGCCCAGAGACACCAGCGTGGGAGTCGTGAGCTGGATTCAAGCCCTCGGAGTGTGGCCCCCTGGCAATCTCTTAGTCACTATGCAGGTTATTGACTGAGATGAATGGCTGTGTTTCCATTAATTCAAACCAACTGAATGATTTTGTAGTCTTCACATTTACCACCACTTTAATAATGAGACAGTAAATCTCATTATTAATCTTTAATATTAAATTAATATTAGCAAACTTAATATTACAGCAGCCTGATTTGGATGGTGGGCAATGCAAAATACCTCTTTTAATTTTTAGCCAAGTAAAACATTACTGTAAATAAGTGTAACTTAGCTTTAGGTGTCCCCTTTCATCCACCTCCCAGGTTTACCTCTTTCTTAAGGGCTTCCTCTTCAATCAGTTGTCGTGAATTGGAAATGCCCTTAATTTTAATCCATACAAACATGCCAGCAACAGGTACATGCCATTCTGCTAAACCTACACACAGGACAGGATGTGCATCAGATTTATGGTTCTGTGACATAATGCAGATATAAACTAGCACTTCCAAAACAGTTCCTCCAGGGATAACATTTTTAACAATATTATTTTATGAGTCCTGAAAATCGATGGTTTGTTTTGAGGAGACAGTGTGTGGGTCTGAGGAAGAGAAGGAGTTTGAATAGCTCTTGTGTGAACGATTATAACTAGAGTTGATCTCAGTGGAGAACAAGAAATATAGTGTTTCTCTTTCAAATAGAGTCATCCCTCAGGCCAGTGTGACTGCTTCAGTTTTAAAAGACAATCCTTCAAGTTCTGCTGTGGTCTTCTGGGGTTTCAGTTAATCCCATCACTGATGCAATAGTTTAGAAGTTCATTGTATGAGTTTTTAATCAGAATATAATTACTTATGGAAAGAAATACATAAAATTCAAGAATTCCAAATGCATTTGTACTCTCTACATTCCATTAAGTATTAGGATGGAAAAATAAACGTGAGGAAATATATAGTTTTTAAGGAACTTCTCTAGCTATGACTTTTTCTTCATCATTACTATGCAAAATGATGGATAAGCACTCTTATCAAACAGGTAAGAATTCAATTTTTACTGACATTTTATAGAGAATTAGATGTAACAGATAAGTAAGTGATATTCTTTGTTTATTATTGTTTGTATAATTGGCATTTTAAGCAGTATAGTTAAAGCCACATGATTCTTCTGTCTTCCATAATAAAAAGCAGTTCTAACACATTCTGGAATCAAATTATCAATAGCTAATAATAGACAATCACAGTTAATGACTAGAAGAGAAAAAAATTGTAATGAGAGATCTGTTCAGACTTCATTATTTGTATTCATGCAGATATGTTAGAAACAGATCATATATGTTTGTGGCAAAATTTTGAAAAAAATAAAAAGTTTGAAAATGGATATTATTTAATTTTAAGTAAGATATTGCTGCTTAGCTTCTAGATCATTTGATTTTTAAGTGCTGCCTTAATGAGCTCTTAATTTTCTTTTTAAGAATTAAAAATTTATGAAGGGCCAGAGAGATAGCTCAGCAGACTAAGTACCAGCTTAGGCAGGCACAAGGGCCGGGGTTTGATCCCCAGCACCACATGCTGCACAGACCCCAGAGACCAGGTATGGTGGTGCACACCTGTAATCCCAGCACTGGGGAGGCTGAAAACAGGAGGATCACTATGAGTCTGCACTGCGTAGTGTTACCCTGTACCAAATACATAAAAATGACAACAACAACAACAACAAAAGGAATAAAACATTTTTTTCAAAAGATAATAGAAATAGAACTGTGCTGAGGTTTGTAGGATGTCACTTATGAAATTCTTTGTAGAGAAACATTTCCTTTCCAGGAATACTCCAGGATTGGTGTTTCTTTCCCACTAGGATTGTCAATAATATCCAATATCTGTCTCCTACTTTTTTAGGTGTTCCTGTTTCTTATAAGGACAGATGTACATTTCACTCACCACTTAACCACTTCTCTGCAGCTGCTAAGATAGCGTCCCTCTGGCTCCTGTAGAAATCAACAACCCTAGAAGAAGGGAACAATGACAAAGATATTTTCAGTACACTGACTGCACAAGCAAGATGGGCTCTGAAACCCAAGCTGTATGAATTTGCTGTCTTTATTAGGATGCTGAATACTTGAGAAGAGGCAGAAGAGTATTTCTGTTGACTTGTCCAGATGAACTTGGACAGTTTTTATTTATGGAGATCAGGTAGAAAGATTGAGGCCTAAAGAGAAAGGTAACATGCAGGCATGATGGCATCCAGCAGACTCAAGAAAGAGGTTAATACAGCTAAGATCCTGTTGTTTACCCAGACACATAGGCTGGATAGAGGAAGGCAAGTCCATCCTACGCTTCTCCAATTGCTCCTATATCTGAGTGAATAGAGGCAGGATTAGCTAGTCACTTGGGGCTCCCATTTAGACTTAATTCTTTGTCTCTTTGTTTTTTCATCTGTGTCATCCTTCAGTTGGTACAGAGCTTGTAAACTGGCCCCTACATTTACTAGTATGTTTGAGCCTTTATTGTGAATTCATTAAAAATAAAAATAATAGAGGAAAAATGAACATTTCTATGTAAAATATAGAACTTAGAAATAGGAAGATTGATCTTTATTTGGTTGTCTGAAATAATGGTTGCCCTTGCAAAGTGGAGAGTCCTTGGGATCACAGACAGTACTATTGAAATGCTGGATCCCTAGTCTGGGAGTGAGGGGAGCCTTGTTCTCCTTATGTCTACGTGGCCTAAGAGGTACCATACTTTCACGACCCAGCACTTCAACTTGCACCATTTATTGACTACTTAGGTAGAGTATGGTCTTACTCATCAATATATCAGGCAATTCCTGGGTCACGTATCCCTCAGTGAATGAATTATTAAATGGAATGCTTGTGTGCACGCATCCTTAGCTGGAGGGAATTCCAGGTTACCTAGGCTCTGCCTTGACTCTGCTTTCAGGGCATACTGTGGGTGCTCTTGAGAAGACTTTTGAGATGACAGAAAAGCTACCAAAAGAACAGGCTCTTGATCTTTTATAGACCGCTCCTGTTGTCTATCTTAGGATATTTAGGAAGAAATAATAATAAATCAACACTCTGATGCTGTGTGCTTGGCTTGTGTGGCTGTTATTTTGCTCATAAACATTTTAACAGATGATACCTGTCCACGTGAGCCAGGAACCCTTCTTCTCCCCACTGCTTCAGCAGCTGTAGTATCATAACCTAAATGAGAGAACAGGAGCTCTGTCACAGTTCACCCCTGAAAGTGTCTGTGGCTGCGAAATGTAGACACAAATCACTCCAGACTACCATTATAGATAGGAAAGATACGCCGAATCTAGTGTATAGCAGTCAGTGGTTTATAATACATGTTAGTAAGCATAACAACAGCAGGAGTAAAAGCAGCAAATATTTCCACGATACCCATTATTTACCAGGCACTACAGAAACATATGAATAGATTTTGGCAAATCTATTCTTTCCATAACTTAATTATTATCCAGGTTATTTCTATCTTGCTAGTAAGGTAATCAAGACATGTTGTAAATTTCTTTTTGATGTCCAACAGCTAGGTATGGAGCTCAGATCTAAGTGAGCACTATATCCAGACGTTCGTTGTAAGACTCTACTGGTGCTCTAAACATAAAATCATATGAAGCATTCTTTTTTTCTCTCTCATCTTTCTGGTCAGTATGAGAATCAACCCTATTGCCTTCTGTATTGATAATATATTGCTGAGCTGTATCTTCAGCCTAAAATAGAAACAGTAAATATCCCAAGTTCTTCATTATATTTAGAGATTTTTTATGTAAAGTAGAAGTTCTAAATGGTACAAATGGATCCTGAACCATTATTGATGACAGATAGTAAAAATACAGAAAAAGCCCTTAATCTGGTAGGACATGGGAACAGCTGCATTTTGTGGGATGTACAATATGAAATGTCCTACGAAAGAAAACTTTTAAATTCATTTTTAGTTCTGAGATAGCAGTCTTATTCTTAAGATCCAAATCCCAAGATTACAAAAATATCCAAATCCCATAATTTCTCAAAGCACATGAAGAAATTTATACATTCTTGGAGGAGGTTAATTTTACTTCATTTCTCAGTTTTCCTCCAAATAAGACCTACTTGGAATACAAGCTCCAGCATAGCTTCAGAAGAGACATTCCCTGAAAATGAGCCCTACGACATCTTTTGGAGTAAAATCAGGGTTCACTTCAGATGTATTTTCTAAAATCATGCAAGAAGCTGTTTTCCAGGTAGGTCTGATTCTCGGGGAAGCGCGGGTACAGTGCACTGCGGCTCCTGCCTGCGGGTGTGGCTGCCCCGTGCAGCTAAGGTCGATCACACAGAGTCACTGAACAGACGCACATTTCTTGTGCTCTTCATGGAGTCCAAGCCAAGACACACAAAGTTAGTCCTGCTTCACCAGGACTAGTTATGGAGTTCCACAAAGTAACACCTTGGTGTTCTCACATGCACACGATAAGAATAATACCTTGATTCTCAGCAAGTCTGGGTTACGCTGCAAAACACTCCATTAACACAGTTCATTAAAATAAACAGCTCGGGGATCTGGTCTTCTAATCCAGCCTGGCTTGCTCGGAACTGGAGAGTCAGCATTGGCGAATATTCTTTCTTGCCACCTTAACTTAACCTTACTTGTCATCATTTACTTTCTATACTGATTTGATTATTGAAAAGCATCATTTCATAAATTGCACTTACCTGTGCAAAAGCGCAGGCATGCATTGATGAAACTTGTGTGTGTAAAACAATTCTCTCTATTAATGGTTTTGGGCCAGTTATAAACCCTACTCTCAACCTACACAAAAAGAGAAAAGACTTAAAACCCATCCACATTAATGTGTCACCTCACTGTCTTCATTATGAGGTACATTTTGACCTGGGATGAGGGGATCTAGACAATTAAAACATTCTAATATAACCAACAATTGTAAGTATACATTTATGGAATAGTACAAGTAGAAGTATTTCCAAATGCGTTTTTTTCATAGTGATACCAAATCTCTACCAGTCCCACTAATGCTAATGCTTTAGTGACCAACTATCTTTGAACACTGGAGATAATAAGAGAAGAGGCTTGTTAATGGTAATAATCCAGAAGCTGTTTTAAGGCAAAATTCAAGCTTTTCTTAGTAATGGCATTTGAGCCCATATCTTTGCATTGAGGTGCATCCCCAGCCCTTTTTAAATGTTTTATTTTAAAACAGGGTCTTGTAAGTTGCTAAGTTGCCCAGGCTGTGATCCAACTTATGATTCTCCTTTTTCAGCCTCTAGAGCGCAGGGTCACAAGCACGTACTACTATGCCCAGCTTCAGGTTTCTTAAATAAGAGCTTTTAGGAATAACAGATTCTGAGAAGAACCTCAAGCTAGCAACATGGACCTTACCCTGAGGAGAGGACCTTTGAAAAGGAATCAGCTCTGACGACGCGGCCATCCACATCCATGGAGAGAAATGTTGGTGCCCTGGGCTTAAAGGGGAAGAAAATTCTATTGCTTTGTGATCAAACAGTGCTGGTAGTTGAAGGGTTGCTTTGTAGAGAGCAGAGAAGGCATGGCTTTGGGACACAGTACCCAAGGGTGTTCTACATCTGTCTCAACATTTTTCCATTGAAGAAAAACCCTAACATGTGTGTTCCTTTACCAGCATCTGCCTGTCTTCACAGATTCCTTGTCAAACACAAGGCCTCCCTTATTTGCTCCAGATATCTTTTCTGTGTATTTAGAAAGATTTATTTGCCTCTGGGGTTGAAGTTCAGGATTCACTGACTTAGAGAAAGGCCTCAAGCAAACCTAGTGCGGACAGGACCAAACTGAAGAGGGTCAGCAGCACTTGGCTGTTTGAAGAATGTTGATCAAGATGTTCAAAATTATGTTCAGTTAAAATTTTGTTCCACTATTTTAGGGAAGTTCCAGGCACAAAGGATGCAGGGGTGAATCTGTGGCTGCTGCCCGGAATGCTCTCCTCTGGGTCCATAAACGAGCACCATTAACTGAGCCTCTACCTCCCCTGAACACAGCTGCTCAGCCCTCCTTAGCCACCACCCTCATAATCGCAAGACTCAAGAGGACTCCAAGAGAAAGCTTGCTTCAGCATCCCTGGGAGTGCTAAGCGGCTGCGGACTGGGACATGGAGTTCAAGACCACGAGCCTGACTTACTCTGTTGCCTGATCTCATGCCTCAGCATCTCGCTCTTACTCTGAAGTTAAATAATTTCTAGATGAGGCAGGCCAAATAGCTGAGGCTGGCTAAAGAGCTCAGTGGATTAAAGTGCCTGTTTAAGCAGACTCAGCAGCCGGTCCTTGGGAGGCTGAACAGGTGGATCGCTACAAGTGTGATCTATGTAGTGAGATCCTGTAGACCTTGTACTAAAAAAAGAAATCTAGAGAGAGCAGTCCATACCAAAAATGAAAATTACTAATTCTATGATAAAGTTGGAAGACTAAAAAACTAAAGTGGTAATAAATTTATAATAGTTCACCTAATTTCAAAATCATAATGAATTCTCCAGTCTGTCTCACCAGTCTGGCTAATCTCACATACAGTGTAATAATTTACAACTTAGGTCTTAATAGCAAAGTAAGGCCACATGATCACTTACCTTGTTGAATTGGAGAAAGTAGTAAGGGTCATCTTCTATTATGAGGAAATCATATTTGCTTGCAAGCTAAAATGTTAAAAAATATATTTGATAAGAGCCACCTAAAATTGAAATCACTTGGAATATATTTATTTGTATTTCTTTGCTCCTCATTCAAGCACCTAATGGATGTCTTTTGTACCAGATAGAAGGAGGACTTCCATTCTCGTGGAACTTACATCCTAGGTAGAGGGACAGAATGTGCACGAGCCCACGCAGAATGAACTGAGAAACATGATATGGAGCAGGACTCACCTTGCTGCCAGAGCGTCACATAAGACGCATTTTAGAAAGAGTAACACGGTGTTTACTCCTGTGGAATCGCTGAGAAGCCCTTCCTGATGAGGTAATGCTACAGCACAGAATGAGAGGAGGAGGCTGAACAAATATCAGGCAAAAAGATTCTAGACTAAAGGGAGAGTGGAAGATTCCAGGAGTGAGCAAAAGGCCTGGCCTGGTGAAGGAATACAGGGCCTGTGTGGCGTGCAGGGAGTGGGCCATGGCGGTGGCGAGGGAAGAGGCCTCAGGTCAGAGATGGCTGTGGCATGCAGTCTGCAAACACAGAAGTGGAACCCCTGCCTAGCAAGGGGAAACCACGTAGAGCTGTGAACAAGAGAACCCTGAGCCTGGGATTTTGCACTGACCATGTAGCAGAGGCAGTGACTGCTTTCCAGGCAAACGATAAGTGGTTAGAGCCTGTCTTAGTTACTCTTCTTGCTGAATCAAATAATCAACATTCAAGGAGACAACCGAGGTCCGCGGGATCCTGAATAGACCCAGAGCGCAGGCCCAGCGAGTGAGTGAGACGACCCAGGGCCGCGGGATCCTGAACAGACCCAGAGTGCAGGCCCGGCCAGTGAGTGAGACGACCTGGGGCCCGACAGGATCCTGAACAGACCCAGAGCGCAGGCCAGGCGAGTGAATGAGATGACCAGGGGCCCAGGGATCCTCATTTGACCCAGGTTGCACGCAGGCCCAGCACGGAACCCTTCAGCAGAACTCCCTGCAAAGAGGCTAGAGGCAAGACACACCCAGCTGATTCAGGAGCAGAACATCTTGCCAGAGAGACACAAAGGGTTCAACTCTAATGCCTGCAGCAGAAAGAAGTGGAGCACAGCAGCCA